TGTTGTTGTTGTTGAACATTATTAATTCTAAAGAATAATTATTGTTGGGCCCCCTGGTGCGCGCCCCCCCCGCCGCGCCTAGGCCGCAGCCACGTTTTCATCATTTTCGTGAGGAAGCCTCAGGTAATTCGAGTTGATCAAGATCCGGTTGTTTTGTTGTAATCCGCTTTCCCTTGCAAAAAACAATAGAAAATGACATTTCTTGTTCTAATATAATCAAATTTCAAGAATCCCTTGCAAAAAATAAGGTAAAGTGGACATTCGCGCGCGCAAGACGAAATCCTTCCAAAAGCTTAGTGTTCGGAGCGATTTTAACATAAAAACATCAAAAAACCAATGGTTGTTCAACAAAAAAATGTCAAAATCTCATCCCGCGCGCTCTTGCGGATTCGTAGGAAACCCAACACTTTTTAAACATTTCTGTCAAACGGGCTTTTGCGAGCAACTTTTTCGAACTTCTGCGACAACGGTTGCGCACCTGCCAGGGCCATCATCCCTGTCAAATAATACCATGCGGGACACATTCGTTTTTTCTTCGCGCGCGCACGCCGAAATCTCCAAAAACCATTGGGTTCTGTGGGTGTGTACCCCACGCCAGTGTAGTAGCCACGGTCGTCCGCACGCCACGAAGTGAAGTGTCCCAACGTCATAGGGCGGGAAGCTGGGTTTGGGTGGTCGCGAAGAGTCGTTTGGATATTTGGTAGAGCTTGTAATGCCCCCCCACGAAGTGGGGGTATTGCCTGGTGTCGTATGAAAACCCTGGCACTGGGGAGAACACCACGCGTTCGGGTAAAATGATTGTTGTTGTTGTTGTTGTTGTTGTTGTTGTTGCGGTTCCGATTCAGGTTCTCATTATGGCGTTGTCTTTTGCCTTCTTTCGATGAACCGTGTGTTTGTTGCGTTTTCATGGTCAACATGCGTCTTTTCCGAAACGGCGAAACAACTGTTCGGTTGGCTTCCAGGGTCCGCCGAAGCTCCAGACCCACCGTCCTTCGGGTCAGGCCCCGGGAACCGTCGAGCAAAACTGCAGGATGGAAAGCTGGTCCTTGGGGAAGGGATCGAGGCGTCCGATGGGCGCCAGCCTAAGCACGAGGAGGATCTAGGCTCGAGGGCCGGGGCTCTCATACAGTCGGGGCCCTGGAGAAGGAACCCTTTTCGTTGGGAAGGGGCGCGGTGTGTTCCTTGATTGTTCCACAGCTTGCCTTAGGTTTTTCCTTAGGTTTTCGATATGGAATCAAAGTTGAACTAATGGAAAAACCAGGTCTCGTTCCTTATTTAGTGTTCCTTAGGTCAACGCCCCGACTGTGTGCTGCCCTCTGAGTGGCCTTAAGGGGAGGGCCTCTCGCGGCCAGGGCCGGATCCGCGCCGAAGTCCTGCGGCCAGGGCGCGCTCTTGGGCCGACCTGTGGGTCCACCCTGAAAGGTTCACCCTGGACCTCTGTCGCAGGCCTAGAGATTGACACCAATACTGACGAACGAACAACACGCACCCATACCCATAGGTGGGACGGAGGGGGCTATGGGTCCGTGTTGTCGGATGGGGGTCCCCGCTCGAAAGGAAACGCCCCCCAGGATCCGACAACCCGCACCCATACCCATAGCCAGTCCTCTTCCCAACGTTCCCCCTATGGGTATGGGTGTGTGTTGTTCGTTCGTCAAACGCCAAGATCGGCGGTGTGCTTCCACCGAGGGAAGACGACCCCGATCTCGGCGATGGTGGTAATATTCTGGCCTCCAGGGTGACCGAAATAGTTATTACCACCAACACCGACATCTAGGATCCTCTTCCCCATGTGGAGGCACCCCCATGTGCTGGTGTTGGTGCCAATTTCGAGGCCTCCAACTCTGCGCTGTCTTCTTCCGGGCTTCGCCGGGAGGACGAAGCTTTTGCTGCGCTTGAGGCGCGCCGGCGCGAAGAGGGGATTTCTCCGCCGTCGGATGCAGAATCCGTGGGCCCAGGCTGTGAAGAGGGAGCTTGTTTACCAGCCTCGAACGTATCCCTATCCTTAAGATTGACACGCCAAAAGGCGATGACAATCTTAGGGATTCGCCTTCAAAAAATAAGGGAATCCCTAAGATTGGCATCGTGATGAGGAGATGCCCAGCATAGGGATAGGGATATGTTCCAGGCTGGTAACCTGTTGAAGCATCATTCGTTTTCTGGCTTTGAACGGCCCTGGCGAGGCGCAATCGCATTACTGATAGTATTATCCGTAAGGGCTTCGCCCCCTGCCGCCGGCCCCCTCTCTCGGAGAATGGGCCATGGAAGAGCTAAGTCATGAGGCCTTGGCGCTGTCGTGAAGCAGTATCGAAACTTCATGCGAAGCCGATTCGCAATCAGCAAAACCAACTGATCACAAGAGGGGTTACCACACCTGGCGATTGGTAAGACGTGTATGGTTTACGGGCTTGGTTACCACACCTTGCGATTAAAGGGCCGAGGGAGTTCTCGCAGTTTGGGTTACCACGCCTTGCGATGGATGTGCGTGAAGGGTGGCACCGAATTTCAGAAATGTACCAAATCCCATGTGTTTTTGGACCCTGACCCCGCGGATCTGCGTGAGGGGTGGCGCCGAATTTCAGAAATGTGGCAAATCCCCTGTGTTTTTGGACCCTGACCCCGCGGATCTGCGTGAGGGGTGGCACCGAATTTCAGAAATGTGGCAAATCCCTGTGTTTTTGGACCCTGACCCCGCGGATCTGCGTGAGGGGTGGCACCGAATTTCAGAAATGTGGCAAATCCCTGTGTTTTTGGACCCTGACCCCGCGGATCTGCGTGAGGGGTGGCACCGAATTTCAGAAATGTGGCAAATCCCATGTGTTTTTGGACCCTGACCCCGCGGATCTGCGTGAGGGGTGGCACCGAATTTCAGAAATGTGGCAAATCCCATGTGTTTTTGGACCCTGACCCCGCGGATCTGCGTGAGGGGTGGCACCGAATTTCAGAAATGTGGCAAATCCCCATGTGTTTTTGGACCCTGACCCCGCGGATCTGCGTGAGGGGTGGCACCGAATTTCAGAAATGTGGCAAATCCCATGTGTTTTTGGACCCTGACCCCGCGGATCTGCGTGAGGGGTGTAGATTTCGAGCCCCCCCAGCAATTCAGACAACGCGCCCAGGAGACGCTAAAAATCTTGTTTGGGCCTCCCCCCCCTCGCGCGGTCAATCAACTAGTTACAGTAACCAGCAAGAAGCAGAACTGTAACACTGGAAACTACAAGCTACAACTGGTACAGGAAACTGCGAACCCGCGCCTACAGCCTGGTGGCCCCACAAGGGGGCCGGCGGATTACTATCCGCATTAATCTTTTTATAGTGTTATGATTCAGTTCACCCTGAATCGTGATACTAGTATCAATAATCACATGTTCTACCCGACTGGATTAGTAGTTCGACTCGCATTCGACTAGCATTTACCATTGTTATCACCCCAGACCTCCGACGTCTCTACAAGGTCTCGGAGGTTGACAGACCTCCCACCCTGACACGTCGATGAGCCGTTTTCGGTTCGCGAGAGGGCGTCGCGGCCGTCATTTTTGCGGGTCCAGGTCCGTCGGTTTCGGTCCCAGGCCGTTTTCATTAAGGAGAGGTTTACTGAAGGGAGGTTTGTCCACCGCCGAAGGTCAGCGCCGCCGTCTGTTTTGTCCGCGGTCGTCGCCGCCCAGGCCGACCAGTACAGTTGGTTCCCGAGCCTCCACGGGGGGGAGAGCGCGCAGGCCCCGGGGCGGGGGGGGGGGAATCGCGTCGCGGGCTGGCGCCGAAGGCACAATGCATTACAGTCAAAAACCCTAATAATGACGCGCGACTTTGCTCCGGGTACCCTTGCTCTTCCTTGCTCTTCCTTGCTCTTCCTTGTTCTAGGAAAATCCCAACTTCGGCTTCCAAGGGTCTTGCGTCCTTCCCGCGCGTCCTTATTAGGGTTTTTGACTGTAGATGAGGTCGGAGCAGATGGGATCGAAGGATCGCGCCGCATCGCCGATGCGTCGACGATGCGGAGCGATGCGGAGCCCGATTCTCTCCACGACGACGTCGCCGATGCGTCGCCGACTTCGCCGATGCATCGCCGATGTATCGGCGATGCGGCGCGATCTTCCGACCCCTACTCAGACCCCATCAAGGAGGCTTCTAGTATCGCTTGGATTGCCACTGAAGGTTCCCATCGCGCTGCGATAGGTTGCTCGACTTGCAGTGCACGCGTCTCGCTGTGCCCACTTGTCTGAATCGAGAAACCCGCTGCCCAGCAGTCCCGAGGGGCAGAAGAATCCTCGATGTGCCTTTCCTCGTTGTTTTCGCGGGCGGAGAAGAATCATCGACATGAGCAGAATTTCTCAGGGGGACGCGCGATTCCTTTGGATCTGTGTTGGACGCCCCTGGCAACGCCTCTGGCGCCGCGCCTGGCACGTTCCCCGCGCCAGGGAGGGAGGCCCAGCGCGGACCCAAGCACTTCACGCGGACCTCCGAAAGGCGACTTTTGCCCCTGGTCTGTGAGTCTCCAGCCGCCCGCAGCAGACCATGCCGCCTTGCCGGCGCTGCAGCAGAGCGGAAAGGCTGGGCGTCGCGGAGTGGTGGGGCGATGACTGGGGGGGGGGGGCAGCGAGGGCTGCCAAAAAGGAGCCCTTCAGGACCCCTTCAGGACCCAGTAGGGGGGCCTCTGGAGCCGGAAAGGTGCACCTGCCTCCCCCCTATACTTCGCCCCCCCCCCCCCCCCATGCAGCGACGCCCAGGAAGGATCCTGACCTCCCGGCGCCGCCAGGAGCATCGCCGCGGCAGTGCGTTTGCCGCCGTCGGGCCTCCCGGGGCCCTCCACGGGCTCCGGGACTGTCAGAAGACGGTGTCAGGAGGAAGGAATCTCGTACTGGGGGAAGGCCCCAGGGTGCAAGACTTCCCTCCCTCCCTCCCTCCTCCCTCCTCCCTCCTCGTCTTCCTCCTCCTCCTCCTCCTCCTCCTCCTCCTCCTCCTCCTCCTCCTCCTCCTCCTCCTCCTGCTCCTCCGCCTCCTCCTCCGCCTCCTCCGCCCGTTTCCCTCAGGACCCGCGTTCCCCATGCGAAATCCAGGCGATCGCAAGCACGGATCAAGGGGGCGTGGATTAGCGACGGGTTCCGCTTCCACGGGAAATCGCAGATGTCCGCCGCCGAACGAGGCGGCACCGACCGCATTTTGGGGAGGGCACCTCCCCCGATCCATGGGTTTGGCGACCGCGCGCCAAATCCATGGATCGCTAATCTATGTTTGCGCGCCCCCGATAAATCTTGACATCCTGGCGGAAATCATCGCGGAGGGGCGTTCGCCGACTTCGTCCTCTGGGGGGGGGGTCGGATCAGATTCCATGGCGCAGGGGTCCTGGGCCCTGGACTCCTGGGTCCTAGACTGAAGCCGGGCTTGCCCCTCTACAGGGGGAACATGCAACAATAGTCCTCATGTGGGGATGATCTGTTGTTGCTATGTTTGAGCATGTTTGGGAATAGTTGTCTAGTATTTTCTATTTGTCGTCCAGAAAATCCGCCTGCAGGGGGACATGCCCGACCTCATCCTAGACCCCAGGCCCCAAGGCTCCGCTGCCCGCGTCTCCAGGGCCCAAGATGCTGGGTCCCAGACTTCAGGGCCCCAGGCCACTCGGCCCCAGACTCCAGGATCCAAGACTTCCCGGGCCCTCACTTCTGGAGAAGAACCGTCGTTGATCCCTTGGGCGTCGCTCCAGATGCCCTGACCCCCCATGCCGCGCGCCGACGGCAAACCCCTGCGCCGACCGCCTCAGAGGTACGGCAGCCGCTTCTTGCTGGGCCTTGGGTTCTAGGGCCCAGGGGTCCCGTGCCGGAGGCACCGGGACCGAACATGCTTCGGCGCTTGACTCCCAGGGCGCAGGACGCTTGGCCCCAAGACTCCTGGGCGTTTGATTTCCGGGCACAGGGTTCCTGGGCCTCGGCCTCCGGGGTCCAAGACTCAACGGCTTTGGATGGCCCCCAGACGGCCCAAGAAGCCTCCAAGAGCACTCTCAAGAGGGCCCGAAGAGGCAAGCATCATTTGTTTCCCTTAGGTTTTGGACAGATTTTGGCGTTTCCACCTTTTCGGCTTTTCGACACCTTAAGACGGCCCAAGAGACCCCCAAGACCGCCCCAAGAGGGCGCAAGAGGCCCCAAAGAGAGCCCCAAGGAGTCCAGGGTCCAGGCGTCCTGGGCCAGAGGATCTAAGGTCCAGGGCCCTTGGTTGTTCGATTCGAGGTCCCAAGACTCCTGAGCCTTCCACCCCTGACCTTCCAGGAGGGCTAAAAAATAGCACGCGACTTAAAAACCTATCCCAGAGCTATTATATGTCTTGGTTTTAGGCTGTTTCGTTTCGTTGTTTAGGTATTTAGGCCTCCCGTGTTAAAAACATAGCTCTCTGGAAGGTCAGGGACTATCCTAGACCCCAGGGCCCTAGACCCGAGGGCCCCCTAGACCCCATCATCGTGCTGCATTTTTCGAGCCCGATCGATCTGCGATGGCCCTGGAGCTCAGGGTATCGTCCACCTTCCTGTGTTTTCGTATTGGTTGATGCTCTTTGTAGCTTCAGGAGGAAAAAGAAATACACAGACACAATTGACACACAGACGCAATTAATCTTCGATTCCCCAGAAAATATGGGAAAATATGGGAAATGGGGGTGGAAGACAGAAACGTAGAAAATATTGGAAAATATTGGGAATAGTTGCATTCCCTACCTAGGCTCTGCCTAGAAGGGTTCTTACCCTGTATGCTTCAAGGGCCGGGCAGTGCTCCCCGCCCCCCAGGATCCGTCCCGCGGTTCCCCAAGTTGCGCCTTTTGGGTTCACCCAGCTTAGCTTAGCATAGCTTAGCTTAGCTTAGCTTATAGCATCTTGGCTTAGCTTAGCCTAGCCTAGCCCAGCTGAGCTTAGCTTAGCTTACCCTAGCTTAGCTTAGCTTATATCATATTAGCTTAGCTTAGCCGATCCTAGCTTAGCTTAACTTCGCTTACCTTAGCTTACCTTAGCATGTCTTAGCGTAGCTAAGCTTAGCTTAGCTGAACTTAGCCTAGCGTAGCTTAGCCTAGCCTAGCTCAGCTCAGTTTAGCTTAGTTTAATTTAGCTTACCATAGCTTATCTCACCTTAGCTTAGCTTTGCTTAGCTTAGCTTATCTTAGCTATCTTAGCTTAGCTTAGCTTAGCTTAGCTCATGCTGCTTTCCTAGGGGCTCCAACTCCTAGGTAGGGTCGCACTGGATCATTTGCGTGTATTTATTTGAGTGTCCTGGTGCCCCTTTCATAGTTTCGCGCAGCAATCTGTTCGTAAGGGTCCTACATCGTGATTCCAACACATAAACACGGATTACGGGCACCGCCGGATTTGAGCTCGGTTGGGCGTTCTGGCTTCCCGTGGCCTCCCATGGCATCCATGGTATCGCCAGATCTGGGATCGGTCGAGCGCATCGGTCCCGTGGCCTCCCGTCTATGCCCCTCTCTGGCCCACGTTTAAGCGTTCTTGTTCAGTCACTTACTCAATCATGGACCCACTGTTGACCGCAGCCCTCCAGCTTTCGCGCCGAAGACCGCTGGAATACCCCCGGAGACCGCCTGAAGACCGGCAGACGACCGCCGAAAAAACCGTCCGAAGTCGACCGAAGGCCGCCGCAGGCGGCCCGCCCAGGAGCGAGGGGGGCGACAAGAAGGGGTCCATGGTCGAGCACCGTGCGTTTGGGGGGCCTGCCGCCGCCACCGCCAGGAGTCCTGCCGCCCGTCCATGCTTAAGTCGGGCCTGTCCCCCTGCAGGGGGATTTTCGACGAAAAATGAAAATACACAAAAAATAGCCAAACATTAGTCCAGAAGTAGTCCGGGGACTTTTTTTTAGTATTTTCTAACCTTTTTTGTGCATGTGTTGGATATTTTTTAATTTGTTCTACGAAAATCCCTTTGTAGAGGGACGCGTCCGACATAGTCTATGGCCCTCGGCCCTGGCCCATGTTCAAAGGCTGCTTTTCGGGGCTCTCCTGCCGCACCCGCAGGGGCGCGAGTCCTGCGCCCCCTCCTTGGAAACGCCCAGGGGTCATACTCTAGAGGCCTGCGCGGAGGCGCGGAACAGGGGGCGGTGGGAGAGACAAAAACAGGCATTTTGCGCATATGACGCTTGCCGTCGTAAACACACGTTCAAGCAGGATCACAACTCCTTCTCGCAAGGGGGGAGGGGGCCCCTCCCCCCCGCCGCGCTGCGGTTCGCGAGGCCCCCAGCGGCGTGGCCTTCTACCCGGCGCCCCGCGCAGAGAGCCTCTGCGGCGGCGGCGGCCGGGTGCTCAGCTGCCAGCAGACGCCGCGGCCGCCTCGGCGCTGCTCCTGGTATGGGGGGGCGCCAGTTATCAGAGGAGGAGAGTACAGGATACAACCCCGAACCCTGATAACACACTGGATCGGTGACCTAACATAGGTCCGTGGTTTTAAGGGATATCCCTAAACATATGCGTGGCTTCGTCTGCTACGTTTGCATGGAGGACCCTTTTAAATTGTTGACCCTCCTATCTCCAGTCCCCTATCAAAGGGTTAGGGGCATCTGTATTGTTCGTCAGAAAATCCCAGTACCGCTGCCTTCCTTCGTTTTCGGCCCGTTGGGCTTCCTGTGAGGCCCCTGTCGGCGCGGCTGGATTCTCCTCCAAATTGTAGTCAGAATGCACCCCGAGAGAGTTCCACAGCGTCCTCCAGCGCATTCCTCGGGAAGCCTTCTCCGGGCCCCCAGGACCATCCAGAAATTGACCGGGACGAGAAATTGGTCCCGAGAAAGAGGCCCAGACCTGGGGAAGTCCACGAGGACGCCAACCACAGACCTCCAACGTATTGGAAAAATCAAGGCGGAGGTTTCCTGTGTTCGGCCTCTGGGGGCCCTCGACGAGCCCCAGGACTCTGGGAAAACGACTCGGGCCGAAAAGGCGGTCCCCAGCAAGGGGTCGAGACTCAGCACCGTTTATTCGACCCCTCTCCCCATCCCTATCCCCATCAAGACCCCACCATCTTAGTAACTACCCCAACTGGGGAGACACCCCTCGAAACCCAGAGGAAACTGCCTGTATCCCCATGTAGACCGACAAATCGGCCAGCGGGGCCCAGGCCACGCCCGGGGGGATAGAGGTCGGCTAAACTGAGTTCGGGAACTACCAATCCTGGCTAGGCCGATCCTGGGCCCAGGGTCGGTGTCTACGCGCTCCTGCTCTGGCAAGGAGAGCGCACGTACCGACTTGTGGCCCCAGAGTTGGGCCCAGGAGTCCGGCGTCGATCGGCAGCGGGGTCCCCCCAGAGCTCCAGGCCGCCAGGAGGAGTTCGGAGCACATGGTCAGTGGATCGCGCCGCATCGCCGATGCATCGGCGAGCAGATCCAGGACCCGAGCATATCCATATCCACCACATGCCGAGGCGCCCGAAGATCGGTTCTTCAGGCAGTGGTTCTGGATAGAACCCCGCCTCGCACCTTTGCATTACCCTCTTCAACCCCCTTTCGTAGGATATAATTCCTGGGAGGTCACATTCAGCATCGACGCTGGTAGCTCCGTGGTCAAGTGCAGGCCTAATCTGGCAGAATCTCATTCAGATCTGACTTGACGCCGCCTACTTTGATTCAATCCCCTGCTTACTCCAGCCTGGTCCAGCTCAATGGCATTCGTCATCGAGCGTCATCGCACTGCCCAGGAGTTGTGTCCTTTCCCTGGCCGCTCCCCCATCGCCCACCTCCTCTTGCGCGCCCCCCTCCTGTGTAGTCTTTCATAGGAGCCTCACAGGGTTCAAAATTCCTTCCGGTTTCGTTGAAATGTCGTCGGATTTGGTCGACGATCGCAGGAAATCTGAACGAAATTTGGACGAAAAGGTGAAGAGGGGTGGTCGAAATCTTGACGAAATCCAGTTGCAACCAGGTTTATAGGAACGCGAAGGTCCACAGAGGCTCCCATCGGACGGGGCTAGGGCGAGGATAAATCTGTTCCAGAGCGTTGCGGAACGTTCTCAGAACATCCCGGGACATTATGAGAAGGTTGCGGCGCTTGAGACATCCTCCAGATCCGCTGGATCGATTCTCGAGTTATCCTCACCCGAATTTATCCTCGTCCTGGCTTCGTCTTACTCCCATGTAGACTCCCTCACCCAGCGCCCCTCCCCCCAGCTCCCCACTCGGACACTCGGGGGTGCCGAGCAGCCGCGGTGGCGGAGCGCGATGCTGGGCATGGACCGCTGCGTGATCGCGGTGGAGCCGCTGCCAGGCCCAGATCGGGGCGTAAGTTTGATTTGGAGGTCGGGGCTCAAGAGACGGGGGTCAGTGCAAACGGGGGTCAGCCAGAGCGCCGCATCTTGCGGGTGGGGGAGGGGGGGGGGGGGGAAATTTCCCCCCCCCCCCCCCCACTTCGAGCTATCAAACCCGTCCTTGGGGAGCTTTGGTGACTCTTGGGCCCCTCCCTATTGGGGCTCTCTTGGACCATCTTGGGGCAATCTTGGGACCTCAAAAGTGAACTGCAGGCGAAAAGGTGAGAAAGCAAGAGTCACTAAGGTTCCTTGGGTTTTTGGAGGATCTTGACCTCTTCGGGGGAGGGGGCTTGAGGGTGCTCCGAGAGCATTTGGGGCCGTCTTGCCACCCTCGCCAGGCCGCTTTGAGGAATGCCAGAAGTTATCTTGCACCAGCTATCTTGATCCGCCTTGGAGGCGATGCTGGAGCATAGGAGGCCTTCTTGAAGCCCTCTTGGGTGAAAAAGGACATTCTGCCACCTCGCGGCCCCTGCCAAGAAACCTCAGGGAGAGGATGGGGGAGTGGAGATAAGATGTTTGTGTGGCCCGACGGGTCTTTGCGTGTCCTGGCGGGTGGAGGGTGGGACGCTGGGCAAAAAAAAACAAGATTGTGTGGCCTGGTGTGTGTGTGTGTGTGTGAATGGCCAGGCGTATTTCGGACCTAATAGATTTCAAGTACGGCAGAGGAGTGGGTTTAGCCTCCAGGAAAACACCCAGACCCCCCCCCCTCATAGCCGATAAAATGCGTACGACGAGCCTCTTAGAGCAGCTGAAGATCTTCCTTTGGGGGCCTGGGAAGGGAGGGGCCATTCGTCCACGCCAGTGGTCGTCAGTCGTTCGCGTCGTTGCTATCCGAAGGGGGGCGGGCTGGCCAGCGTGGGGCGATGACCAGGACGTATGAGGAGTGAGGGAAAGGACGACGCAGGAGGTGGAAGGCGGAGGAGGAGGAGGAGGAGGGAAAAAGGTACGGCGCTTTTCGTCGCCATCTCTCTTGGCCGATTGTGGTGATGAAGATGATGATGATGTTGATGCTAATGCTGCTGCTGCTGATGATGAGGATGCTGGTAATGAGGATGAGGATGATGGTGATGGTGATGGTGATGATTAGGCTGATCGTAATGATGATGCTGATGCTGATGATGATGCTGCTGATGATGATGTTGATGGTGATGGTGATGGTGATGGTGATGATGGTGATTGTGCTGATTGATGATGACGCCGCTGATTGTGAAGATGAGCAGGACGATGATGATGGTGGTGAGGATGAGGGTGAGGGTGAGGATGATGATGCTGAGGAGGATGAGGGTGAGGATGAGGATGATTGTGGTGATGGTGATGATGTTGGTGATGGTGATGATGATGGTGATGGTGGTGATGATGATGATATTGATAATGATGATGATGATTCTGATATTGGTGCTTATGATGATGCTCAGGATGATCATGATGCTGATTATGATGATGATGATGCTGATGATGATGATGATGATGATGATGATGATGATGGCGAGGGTGCGGATGACGATGGCGATCACGTTCTTGCGATGACGACTATTACGATGATGATGATGAGGATGATGATATGATGATGATGATGATGATGATGATGATGATGATGATGATGATGATGATGATGATGATGATGATGATGATGATGATGGTGATGCGAATGATGGTGATGATGTTTGTGATGATGGCTGTAGTAATGGTGATGCAGTTGGTGATCGTGGCGTTTGCGATTGTATAGTTGATGATGATGGTGATGATGATGACGCTGATGAGGCTGATGATGATGACGGTGAGGAGGTGGGGGAAGAGATGGATGGGGATCATGATGAGGGCATGACCGACAGGATGGGAAGCCGGAGGAGGAGTCGGCGGGAAGGTTGTCAGGATGAGCATGCGTTGGGCAGGATCAGCAGGCGGAAGGTGGATAGTTAATGATGCGGGGGACGAGGATTCGGACCAGGAGGGACAGGGAGCACATTGAACGATGAGGATACAATCGGAGGAACAGGAACAGGTAGGAGCGAGCAGCTAGCAGAAGGACCAGGAGAGTCAGGGGATGGTGAGAAGGACAAGGGATGCGACGGGACGACGGTGGATGTGATGGCGACGAGGAGGGGAGGATGGCCGTGACAGGGAGGGTTGCGATAAAGATTGTCGACAGGCATGCCCATGAGGATGGGTGTGATTGTGTTCCCGCTGCCAGAAGGAAGCCTGCCACCGTGGGAGTCCAGCATTCTAGGTGGTGGCAGCTCGATTAAGTGATGATGCTTGTGATGCTGATGTTGATGATGATGCTGATGATGATGACGATGATGCAGATGACGACGCCGATGACGATGACGATGATGATGAGGATGATGATGATGGTGAACGCTTGTGATGATGTTGAGGGTTGCGGTGATGATGCTGAGGATGATACGGATGATGATGATGCTGATGCTGGTAACGATGAGATGGTCACGATGATGATGGCGATGTTGGTGATTATGATGATGATGGTGATGTCGATGATTATGACGATGATGAGGAGGAGGATGGTAGTGATGATGAGTATGATGATGCTGGTTATGATGAGCTGGTGATGATGGTAATGATAAATATGATGATGCTGATGATGATGAGTAGGGTCATTATTATGGTGATAATGGTGATGATGATTGCGGTGCTGATGATGATGAGTATAATTTGTATTATTAGTATGGTCATGGTGGGGGGATGGTGCTGATGGTGATAGTGATGCTGATTATGATGATGGTGATGATGACGATGATGCTGATGCTGATTGTGAGGCTGATGACGATTATGCTAATAGTTATTAGGAGGAGGAGGAAGCGAAGGAGGAGGAGGAGGAGGAGGAGGGGGAGGAGGATGTTCAGGAGGAGGATGGCGAGGAGGAAGAGAGGGAGGAGGAGGAGCAGAAAAAGGAGGAGGAAGAGGAGGCAGAGAAGAGCCGTCACAGGTGACATCTTTCGTCTTCACTTTTCGGCGAGCCCTCATGGACCTTACTTTGGCTGTCTTGGGGCTGTCCTGGGCTCCTGTGTGCCCGTCTTGGGGCTCCCTTGGGGCCCTCTGATGCCTTCTCGGGGCTCTCTTGGGGCTCTCTTGGCTCCCTCGAGGCCGTCTGAGGGGTCTCTGGGGGTCGTCGAGGGGCCGTATTGCGCCGTCCAGGGGTCATGTTATGCCGTCTCGGGTCCCTCCGCTGTTCTTCTTGCGCCAATTTCAACCGGTTTCCAAGAGGTCTTCAGCTAACAAAGAAATTCTTTACATATAACTTGTGATTGACTGGCCATCGCGGGCCACAGGGACACGCATCCGGCCGTGCGCCGGGCCACAAACACGCAGTGGACACAAACTCCCAACGGAACACAAACACGCAGTCTCAGTGGGAGCGTACGTAGCACCCCGCAATTGCGGATAAGAGTGAGGGGGCGGGCGCGGGCGACGCGGGCGTCGTCAAGCCGGCGGACCTCGTGGCCCCCACCTTCCCTGTCGATGGCGCTCCTCCTCCTCCTCCTCCGCCTCCTCCTCCTCCTCCTCCTCTTCCTCGTCCTCGTCCTCGTCCTCATCGTCATCGTCGTCCTCCTCCTCCACCTCGTCCTCTCTCCTCCTCCTCTTCTTCCTCGTCCTCCCTCTCCCCCCCTCGTCCTTCCATCATCGTCCTCCCATTGTCGTCATGTTCCTCCTCATCGTTCTCCTCTTCCCCCCCTCCCGATCCTCCCCCCTCCTCCTTTTCGTCGTCGTCGTCGTAGACGTCGTCGTCGTCGTCTCCTTCCTCCTCCTCCTCCCTCCTCCTCCTCCTCCTCGTCCTCCTCCTCCTCCTCCTCTTCCTCCTCCTCCTCCTCCTCCTCCTCCTCCTGCAAAAGCAGCCCGCCGCAGGCGCCGAAAAAATTGGTTTGTACACTGAACGTGGTTTGGGTCGCGGCTGGGCCGCGGATTCTCCACCGGGAACGAATGCAAAAGATGACCGCCGCAGGCGCCGAAAAATTTGGTTTGTACCCTGAACGTGGTCGCGGGTGGGCCGCGGTCTCTCCACCTAGAACGAATGCAAAAGATGCCCGCCGCAGGCGCCGAAAAATGTGGTTTGTACTCTGAATGTGGTTTGGGTCGCGGGTTGGTCGCGAGTTGGTCGCGGGGTGGGTCGCGGGCTCTTTACCTGGAAGGAATGCAAAAAAAGCCCGCCGCAGGCGCCGAAAATGTTGGCTTGTACCTTGAACGTGGTTTGGGTCCAAGGTGGGTCGCGGGTGGGTCGCGGGGTGGGTCGCGGGTGGGTCGCGGGTGGGTCGCGGGTGGGTCGCGGGTGGAACGCGGGTGGGTCGCGGGGTGGGCCGCGGGCGGGTCGCGGGGTGGGTCGCGGGTGGGTCGCGGGTGGGTCGCGGGTGGGTCGCGGGGTGGGTCGTGGGGTGGGTCATAGGGTGGTTCGCGGGTGGGTCGCGGGTGGGTCGCGGGGTGGGTCGCGGGGTGGGTCGCGGGGTGGGTCGCGGGGGGTGGGTCGCGGGTGGGTCGCGGGTGGGTCGCGGGTCGCGGGTGGGTCGCGGGGCGGGTTGCGGGTGGGACGACGACAACAAACAACAACAACAACAAACAACAACAACAACAACAACAACAACAACAACAACAACACGAATCCGCACCGCGGAATCCCACTTCAGCCACGCACCCAGGGACAGTGAATGACCGTTCGGCCCCCTCACTCTGATATACCCCTCCCAGAAGGGAAGAGGTTTTTTTGGAAGAGGAAAGAAAGATATCGCTAGACCACCTCAGCCCAAAGGGCCTGGCTGGTGGGATTCATCCACCACCAGGCGTCCGCAGGCCTAGCCTTGAGATACTGTCTGTCAGGATTTCGGCCCAACGTGGACTTAGGCGATCGCAAAACATGGATTAAGGGGGCGTGGATTAGCGACGGGCCCCGTTTCTATGGGAAATCGCGGATTTCCGCCGCCGAACGAGGTGGCATTGGAAGCTTTTTGGGGAGGGCACCTCCTCCGATACATGGATTTGGCGACCGTGCGCCAAATCAATGGATCGCTAATCCATGTTCTCGCGCCCCAGATGGACGTTCTCAGGCATGGTGGCGGTACGCTTACCTCCTCACGCGGTTCCACAAGGGACCCCAGGGAAGGGGGGGGCGATGCCGAGTTCTCAAGTCCGTCCGGCTGCGCCCTCGGAAGGTCGCTGCACAACGCTTTCGCTCGCACTTGTCGAGACCTCAGATGCAACGCCACGGTCTCAGAACTCCTCTTCGCTGGCGTCCCTTGAGGAAACGTTTCAGCCGCGGCGACGACGACGCCGACGACGACGATGCGGACAGCGACGAGAACCACGGCGCCAGCGACGCAGCCGACGGCGCTGGCGGCGGCGACAGCCCGGGCCTCTGCCCCGAGAGAGGCGTCCTCTCCGCGACGGCGCTGCCCCGCCGCCCGAGCTGCGGCCACGACGCGGCCGAGGGCCCCGAGTGGCGCGTTGCGTACCGCACGGCGCCGCCGGCGGCGGCCGACGACGACGGGCACGGCCGACGATGACGACGACGACGACGACGACGACGACGACGACGAGGATGACGACGACGACGAGGACGACAACGACGACGGCGGCGGCGACGGCGACATTGACGGTCACGACGACGGTGACAGTGACGGCGGCGGCGGCGGCGGTTGGCGACGACGATGGCCGACGACGACGGCCAACGACGATTCGCACGGCCGACGACGAAAATGACGACGACGGCGACGGTCACGACGAAGGAGACGTGAGCGATGGTGACGGCGAGTGCGGCGGCGACGGTCGACGTCGACGGCGTCGACGACAACGACGACGGGGGCGGCGACGACGTCGACGCCTTCGTCGCGGAGGTTTTTAGGAGTTCTCCCGCAGGTCCTCGTTGCCACGGCTCGACGCGGCTTGGAAGCGCAGCCAGGATGGACCCAGTGAGGCGGGATTGACGTCGGACGGCGGCGACGTAACTATGGTGGGCACGGCCGACGGCGACGATGACGATGATGACGACGATGACGTACGACGACGGCGACGTCGCCGATGACGTCGACGTCGACGATGACGGTCACGAGGACGACGACGATGACGATGACGACGATGACGGTAACGACAGCGACGACGGCGACGAAGACGGTAACGACGACGACGACGACAGTGACAGTGAACCGGCGGCGGCGGTGGCGGCGAGCATTTTGGCGGCGGCCGACGAAGACGGGCACCGCCGCCGACGACGACGACGACGACAACGGTCACGTCAACGACGAAGACGGTAACGATGACGGCGACGACGACGACGTCAACGGCGACGACGGTGACCACGACGACGACGACGACGATCACGACGACGTGGACGCAGGCCATCAAGAGGCAAAACCAGGCCTCAGGATGGGATCGAGAGATCTTGGGGACCAGGCCGCGATGAAAACGCAACGTCGAGAGTCCGCAGACATGTGGCGGACTGATTATTTCAATCACTGCTCTGTCCTTTTTTTTCTCTTTGAGCCGTTCCCGGGCCCAGGCCATCAGCAAGGCATCCGGTATGACAAGTTGACCGCGGAGAAGGGGTCGGGATCGTTGAGACCCGCGGATTTGAGAACTCACCACCTTCGGATGTCGGGGGACGTCAGCGGCAACGGACACATGGTGGCACGTTTCCACGGTTCTTGACCTCCTGGATGCCCTCAAATACGTCATTGCTCTTGCGCCTAAGCGGCTCAGGAGGCTGCAACACCCGCCGCTCTTGACGGCCGCCGGGCCAACCCTAAAAGTTCACGGCTGGGGCGTTCCATTGTTTTCGGATGTTTCTTGCAGGAGGGATTTCGGAGTGTGTTGATGAGCAACGCTCGGGGGGGGATAGGCTCAGAGGAGACGCGTCGACCCCCAACCACCCCTTGACTGCCGATGGCGGCCCGACAGCCCCAATGTGCCGAAGACCGTGTAGATTCGTTACCAGGGACTAATCGCCAACCTATCGGCGATGCATTTTCGATTCGAGAACTTCAGCCGGTTGCCCTCCTAAAGTTGCCCCTTAGGTTTGAAGAGGTTTTTGGCGGCGTTTGGGGGCTCCTCGGGGGCCTCCCAGGACCTCCGTAGCAGTTGGCGGTTGTACTTAGTGGTGTGCCATGTTTTTGTTCGCTGTTGTTCTGACGTGTTCGAGTGTGTGTTCAGAAGGGGTTCCGGGAGGTTTCGGCCTGAAGGACCTTTTGCTCCCCTGGTGGTTGTGGTGCCGTCGATAACGAGAGGTCATGGGCGGCGACGGAGCTTCGGAGCACAGCGCGGGGCTTCCCGTCGCAATCCTCGCCGGGCAATGTTCCACCCCCGTGGTATTCTGATATTTGCATTGGCTCAGTTTGGGCGTTGCGATCTCATGGCACAGAGTCGGTATCTCCAACCAGACGTCCGAGGTCGTCGGTTGGTTCGCAGCGTGGCTCTCCAGATGCCTGGGCCTCTACCCCTGGACCTCTCTTTGATTTCAAGGAGCTGTGTTGACGGCCCCAGGGCCCCAGGAACCGACAAATGCCAGAACATCTCACTCGTTAGTTGTTCGGGCAAACGTAAAACTCGAATGCGCCGGAACTCGGGCTTGCCGGCGCTATCGACGAGCGCTCCATGGACTTCGACGGTCCAGTTTGCATTTTACGTTTGCAGCGGTAGCTCGCGTCAGATTTCAGGTTGGGCATCGTCTTATTCTCCCCCGTCATGTTCTCTCTTATTGTTCCCCCTCGCGCGCGTCTGGGTTTTTGTGGCTTCTCGGCCCAAGCCCTCGCGCGGTTTTGAGGGGCGGGCGCTCTGCGCAGCCCAGGTCGCCAGCGAGGGGGCGGGGGCGGGGCCCTTTTTCCAGGGCCGCGCTCTACGAGCGGCTCGTGGACCAGCAGCTCCCCCCACTTGCGGACCTCGGCGGCCCCTCTGCGAGGAGCCCGCGGTCCGCTCAGGCCGACTCGGGCGGCCGGGTGGGTCTGAGCGGCGGGGCGGCCCCTGCGCTGCTCTCGGCGGTCGTGGCTCTGCTCGGGGCCGCTGCCGTCTGCAGCCTCTGCGGACGCTGTCGCATCGGGGCCTTCGCGGCCCGCTGGCGGGGCCCGACGGGCCCCCCTCGCGCGCGGACCGCGATCGGAGCCCCCGACGGGCGCGGTCGCGGCGCGCAGCGCGCCTATTAGCCCGCGGCCCAGGAGCGCGGGCTGCGGCGCGCGCGCGGGCCCTGTCGCACGGCCCGCCCGCTGCGCCCAGCCGAGCTTAGGGCGCGCGCGCCGCCGGCCCTGGCAGCCGCTGCTTCGGCGGCGGGAGATTCGCCATCCCCGATGGGCCTGTCTGGCCCGACCGCCGCCCGTTCGCCCCACCCTCAGCCACTCACTGCGATCGTTGGCGGTTGGACGAGGGCGGGATGAGCTGCGCCGCGATCCTTCTGGCCTCTCGGCCAGGGGGTATCCTGCCGTCGCTGCCCGGGCCCTTCCGCGCCGCCGACAGTCTCGGCATGGCGGAGGCGGAAACACAACCGCCCCTCTTTTGGCGGTCAAGTTGGAAAGTTCGAATATGAATCTGGAGGCTCTCACCCCTCTCGATGAGGGAGACGCCGACGGGCCGGCCCCGTTCGGAACGACTCGCGGGCGGGCGCGTTGGCCACACCTTGCGGGGGTCTTTGTTTGGCCCCCGCGATGGCCCCGTGGCCATTCAGAGCGCGGCGCCCGTCGAGGGGGGCGAGGCTGCCCCGGAGGACGACGCCGACGCTGAGGACAGCCCTTTCGCTTCCGGCGAAGGCCCCGCCGCTGCCGGAGGCGCCTCCCGCGCCAGCGCGGGGGCGCTCATGCCGAAGCCTTGGTCGGGCGCGGCCCGCCCGCGGGCAGGGGGGGGGCCGTCGCCGCGGCCCCGGGCGACGGAGTGCCGGGGGCCCGCCGCGCGGAGGCCCGCCCCCCAGGGTTCGCGCCGATCTGCAGGAGGCCCGCCTCGGGGCGCCGCAGCGGTTCGCCGACGGATCTCCGGGCAGCGCTCGCAGGGTCGCCTCCTCCCCCCCAGCGCGCCCAGAGCCGCGCCGCCGCGCCACCGACGGCATTCCGAAGGGGAAATTCGGGCCTGGGGGCGCGCGCCCGCCGCCTCCGCCGCCCTTGGCCCCGCCGCCGCCCCCCGCCCCCCAGCGGGGGCGCTGGCTTCGCCGACGAGGGCGCCGCTCGGGAGCCTTGAGACGGGGGTCAATGCAAACGGGTGCCAGCCAGGGCGCCAGATCCTGCAGGATCCTGCGAAGACCCCCTCTGGCTGACCCGGGTTGGCGAGCCGCTCGCGGCCGCGAGGCGGCCGCGCGCACTGGCTGACCCGGGCTTAAGATCTGCGTTGCAGTTTTTTGTCCTGCATTGCAGTTTTGGGTTTCCTGCTGACCCGGGTCTGGATTGACCCGGGTCAGAAGATCCCCGAGCCGCGGGAGACGAGCCCCGCGGGGGGCTCGGCCACTTGGAGCCCTTCCGCGCGCCCGGGGGCTCGGCCCCCGCGCGCGCCGGCCGCAGCCTCCGCCCGCGACCCCATCGTATGCGCGGGGCGGGAGAATTTTCATGATGGCCCCGTCACGCCAAAGCGAATCTTCCGAGCCTGAGTCTTTTGTCTTCCCGATTCCAGTCACGGCACGAGGATGTCCGCGCGCGTCTGCGGGCGCCTCGACAGCGTTGTTGCGGGCGGGGCCGCGCTCGGAAAGTTGCATTGGAGGGTCGACGGCGCGGGGCCGCCCCGAGGCGGGCTACTACGAGGTCACGTTGGAGCCCTTGCTCGGGAGGCTTCGGCTGCCAGGGCAGAGAATTCGCCCCTCCCTATCAGGGGCAACGATCGGGGGGGGGGGGACAGGCGTAGGGAGCTGCATCGACCATCAACCATTTCTCGCCGACGGGGGCCCGATAGTCCCAACCTGGCCAGGAGCGTGCGGATTGGAGCATCGGGGGCTTACCGCCGGTTTATCAGCAATGTCTCCCTGGTTCCACATCGGTGATCCCCCCACCACATGCCTATCCCCTCTTATCTGGATCGTTGACCCTCACCCTACGTTCCCCACTGTGTCTGTCGTTGCCTCCATCATGTTTGTCGTTGCCCCTCGTGTTTATGTTCCCCTTTCTGTTTATCGTTGTTCCCCCATCTATGTCTATCGTTGCCCCTCACCCTCTGATTCGGCGGAGAGCGCACACGGGGGGGGGGGGGGAAGGCGGGAGTGGCGAGCTCTCTCGGAGGGCTCGGACGGCCCCCGCCCATCTCGGGAGCGTTCTGTGGGCTTTCTCTGGGGGCAGAGACGGTTTCTCGGAACGCCCGCGGGCTCTTGAGAAGCCCCGCCGCCCTCTGCAAGAGGCTTGCTCCCTCGTCCCCAATCCCCCCCGCGGTGCGAAAAAAAACACGACGGGGGGGTCCGCTGGTTTCGGCCTCGGGAGGCCTCTGCCGGGGAAGGGGCCCAGACCTCTGGGGGTCGACGGTGAGAAAAAAAAACAAAACACGACGCTGGAGGTTTGGGTCACTTCCACCCCAGGCGCGCCGCCGATTGATACCCTCACGTCGTGGAGGCAAGACGGAGGTCTGTTAATAGTGTTTGGCTCCCTATAGGGCCCTCACGGGGCCGTCCAAGATTGACTCTGGCTGAGAAGCCTGTCCCCCAGAAAAGGTCCAGACGTAAACATCCGACGGTGTGATGTTTTCAATGCGCGGCCCCAGAGACCCCAAGAGAGGAAAATGAAGAAAAAAAGCCTTTGCCCAAAAGAAGACGAAGCGAGGGGACAGGACACTGAGAGACCCGAGAATCGATCCCCAGACCCATCCCAAGGCCCATCATGGCCAGACTCGGCTTTTCACGCTCTCGCGTCCCCGAATGGGCACCCGGAGGCCGCACAGTCCTCGATCCTCAGAGTTTGGGGAGTAGCGAGGAGGTCCCCGAGGGCCTCCGACATCGCCGAAGGCCTCCGACGGCTCACGACGGCCGTCTGGGGCCCTCTGGGGGCCGAAGAAGGCAGCCGAGCGCTTCCGAGGGCCACCGAGAGCCGGCGAGGGTCCCGAGAGCCTCCTCCCCCTCCTCCTCCCCCTCCTCCTCTTCCTCCTCCTCCTCCTCCTCCTCCTCCTCCTCCTCCTCCTCCTCCTCCTCCTCCTCGCCTCCCCGGCGGCCGCGAACTCCTCTCAGGCGAGCGTCCGTCACAGATCCCGGAGTGGTGACCCCGGGGCGGCGCAGGGGCCCCGACGTTCTCTCCACCCGCCGGGGCAGAGCGGCTCCCGCTCGGGGCCCGTTCCTGGACGGGCCGGGCCCGGTGGCCGCCGCGCGCGGGCCCCCCAGAATCTCGGGACGGCCGACGCGGGCGAGCGAGGGGGTGAGGTGAGAAGGAGAAGGCCTTCTCAGAAGCTAGGAGAAGGCCTTCTCAGAAGGAGAGGGCCTTCTCAGAGGCTCTCGCGCCCTCTGAGAAGTCGTTTGTGTCTTCGGGGAAGGCTTAGGGCACGGAGATGGGTACGGGAAGAACGGGTACGATGCCCAACAGCGGTTCTTGTTCATTTTGAACAGGACTGGCCCTGGCCTCCCTGGTGGCCCTCCTGCACTGGCCGCCCTGTCCTCCCTGCCTTCCCCGGCCTCCCTGGCCTCTCCCCTGGTCTCCCCCTTTCTCTGCACAAACGGGATGGGCACGGAACTCTGCACGAACGGGTACAATGCCCAACAGCAGTTCCTGTTCATTTTGAATAGGATTCGTTGTCGGCGTCGCCGCTGCCTGTGTCCATTTGAGACAGAAGGCCGCCTGCCCAACAGCGGCCGTTGTTGGTTCGGGATAACATTTGCTGTTGGGCATTGTGCCCATTGTTTCCGTGCCCGTTTCGGGCGTCCAAATTGGCACGGACCGAATAGTCTAGGCTTCCTAGATGGGGTCCGAGCAGATGGGGTCGGAGGATCGCGCCGCATCGCCAATGCATCGCCAATGCGGCTCGATGTGGAGCCCGTGTTTCCCCACGCCGACGGCGCCGATGCATCGCCGACGTCGCCGATGCATCGCCGATACATCGGCGATGCATTGGCGATGCGGCGCGATCCTTCGACCCCATCTACTCGGACCCCATTTGGGAGGCCTCTAATGTGCATAATCAAGTCGCAGAATAAGGATGCAATGGCCATGTTGGCGTTTCCGAGCGGGTTTGGCCAGCGAAAGTCGCCAAGGATGGGTCGAAGGAAGGGGCAGGGATGCGACTTGACTGCACAAAGGCCGACAGCAGATCCTTTCCATTTTGAACAGGACTCGCTGTCGGTGTCGCCGCGGACGTTGTCCACTTGAGACAGGGAGGCCGCCTGCCTAACAGCGGCCGCCTTCGGTTTGGGGCAATATTTGCTGTCGGGCATCGTACCAATTTTTTCCGTACCCATTTTGGGCGTCCAAGCAGACCAGGGAGGAAAGCGCCAAGATGGAAGTGTAGGTCACGCCCAGGGGAACGAAGACCGCGCTTCGCACACCTCCCACGCATTGAAAGAAACAAGCCGCGTGTGTGTCTCAGTTGTCGACCTTTGGGGGCCCTTGCCGGGCCCTGGGACCATCAACAAGCGGCTCAGAAGGACGAGCCAGGACCAGGAGGGAAAGAAACACACAGACACAATTGATCGTCGATTCCCCAGAAAATATTGGAAAATATGGGAAGTGGGGGGAAGACAAAAAACAAAAAAACTGGGAAAATGTGGGTGATCTTTTTATTTGTGTGTATGTGTCCTGGGGCCTCTTCACAGAACCTTGGGGGGGAGGCCCCCCCACTTCGCCCAGAGACTTGCCCCGCGCAGGGCGCTGCAGCCCACTTATAAGAGCTAGGTTCGGCCAGATACAGCCCACCTTGCCGTCCACTTGTACCCCCCCTACAGTCGGGGCCCTGAAGAAGGAACCCTGTTCGTTGGGGAGGGGCTCGGTGTTCCTTGATTGTTCTGCAGTTGGCCTTCGGTTTTCCTGAGGTGTCCCATGGGAAATCGAAGTTCAACGTCTGGGAGAAAGAGGCCTCGTTCCTTACTTAGGGTTCCTTAGGTCAACGCCCCGACTGTATCCCCTGAGCAAGCCCCTCGGTGATCCAAGTGGGAAGCAGCCGGTCCGCCAGAGGTCTCGGGGCACCCCTGGGTCGGGGCGGCGGGGCAGGGCGGCCCCGAGAGACGGTCATTAGTTCTGAACAGTTTGTCTTTCATTACCAGCCTCGAACGTATCCCTATCCCTAAGATTGACACGCCAAAAGGCGATGACAATCTTAGGGATTCGCCTTCAAAAAATAAGGGAATCCCTAAGATTGGCATCGTGATGAGGAGATGCCCAGCATAGGGATAGGGATATGTTCCAGGCTGGTAATTTCGTTAGGCTTTGCAAGGTCACTTGCATGGCATTCCCCCCTACCCTTCCGCCGCCTCTCCGAACAGCTCCAGACCGAAAAGCCGTGCAAGCGAGTCCTGCTTTGCGTGAAGTCTTGATTTTGTTTCGGGCCTCTCCGTTTCCCTCCTCCCCCGATGCGGATAGATTTGCTGGCCATACTGCCTTATACATGCTTCATACATACCCCCATGATAAAACAAACCAAACAACTGCTTCATACAAGTCCACTACTGCCCCTGGCCAGTCCCAGCCTGGGCCCGCCTTGCCGCTTGCCTGGGCGGCATACGCAGACTTCCGGCTATGTTTTTTCAATGCGATGCTCCAGAGCGTTAGTTGTCTCGACACGCCCTTGGTGATACGCAACGCAATCGTCCGTGCCAATACGTTGCGTGTTGGCTCAGCGTGTTGGCCCACGTTTTGGCAAACGTATCGCGTCAGACCTACGATTTCAGTCTACGTGTTGTGTCCGTATCAATACACTACGAGTTGCGTGTTGCGTATCAGGGCAGCTAAGCCCACAGCCTTCGACCCCGTAATGCGTCCCAGATCAATGTTTGATGGCCAGGGGGGCGATAAAAGGCCCCAGGCCGAGGTGAAGGACCCGCATGCCAGGATTGAAACAACGTGCCGCTGGAGATCTTGGGTGGACACCGTTCTTTGGCCCAGGATGGGGACCTGGCCATGGGCAGTGGATATTTGCCCAGACATCTGGCGATATGAATTTCCCACCGCGCGGCCACAGAACTCCAGAACCCTTCCCTTGGGAAGTTTACTACTACTACTACTACTACTACTACTACTACTACTACTACCACTATTACCACTATTACCACTACTACCACTACTACCACTACTACTACTACTACTACTACTACTACTACTACTACTACTACTACTACTACTACTACTACTACTACTACTACTACTACTACTACTACTACTACTACTACTACTACTACTACTACTACTACTACTACTACTACTACTACTACTACTACTACTACTACTACTACTACTACTACTACTACTACTACGACTACTACTACTACTACTACTACTACTACTACTACTACTACTACTACTACTACTACTACTACTACTACTACTACTACTACTACTACTACTACTACTACTACTACTACTACTACTACTACTACTACTACTACTACTTAACCACCCACTATCTACTACTACTACTACTAACTTACTACTACTTCTACTACTACTACACTACTACTACTACTACTACTATACTACTACTACTACTACTACTACTACTACTACTACGACTAATACTACTACTATACTACTACTACTACTACTACTACTACTACTACTACTACGACTACTACTACTACTACTACTACTACTACTACTACTACTACTACTGTTACTACTACTACTGTTACTACTACTAGTACTACGACTACTA